AGATAAAGCAAATCCCGGAGCAAGACAAAGTCCAGAAAAAGGGCCTCATCTCCATTCATTTTCCCCAGACACACAAGCTCTGTAGGAAGCCAAAGAGAGTTGCCAAGAGGAGGGAAAGCATTAGCATAGCCATCGTAGATAATAAGTCTCACGGTAAGGCAAAACTAGGACTTCAAATTACTTCTGCAACTGCACTTAGTTGGGTATGTAGAAATATGTGAATGTGCATGACTTTGAAGTAGAAATTATTCTGATGTCGTACTGTACAATATGCAAGTGGAATGTTTATTTATTGATTTATTCTGATAAAAAACAAAAAAAAACAGGCAATATACAGTCTCAGCACCTCACGGTGTAGCTGTACGACTTTGTTCAAAGAGACATTTGCATCTGAATGGAGCGAGCGCCCATCACTTACACAGCACTAACAAGGCAGCAGCATTTGCAGTGACCAGTGTCGAGAAGTGTCACATCATGTATACCTCTTCTGTTTGATGAGACCAGAATAAAGACTTCAAGACATTTTCTCCTGCTTCTGCAAAGTGCAACTCAATTGAAACAACCACTAGATAATCGTGTTTCTCAGTTTGCGGACATGGCGCGAATGCAAAGTGGGCAAAGTCAAAAGAGCCTGCGAAACAGTGCGTGCTTGTGTGCATGTGTGTATCTGCACACAAGCACACATGTTTGTTGGCAGACTAAGGCTTGAAACCAGGCTGGTGAATTTATTTATATCAGCTCGTTTTATGAGCCCTGCAGCTGGTGAGATGAAAGGGTTACCACAGCATAGGCAACGTGTGTGTATGTGTTTGTGTGTGTGTGAGGGCGGATTATTAATGACTTTAATCTAGGTAAATTGGGGAAATCTCACACACTTAAATTAGTTGTTTTCTGACATTCTGTGCCAGGGGCAGACAGAATGAAATGTTTTGCTGTGACAGTGTTCCTCTCTCTACCCTTTCACCGGCACACTATCTCTCGCTATCCCCTTCCCTGTTTGTTTCCCTCTTCTTCTTCTTGCGTGGTTTCTCCTTCCTCTCTCCCTTTCTATCATTTTTGTCACTTTTATTTCTCTCTCTTGCTCTTTGCGGCCATCTGCTCTTTTGTTCCTCTCTGGCTATGTTGTTGTCATGCTGGCATGATGGCTTACCCACTATTTCACACAGAAAAACATGACAAAGCGGGAGCATAGAGAGAGGCTGAAAAGGAACGGAAGCAGATAGGAAAAACTATACCTGGCACGCATAGAATCACCACGGCTGGGCGAGGTGAGGGCTCAAGAAAAAGAGAGAAGCATTTATAAAGGTTAGCACCAGGAAAGCCTTTCTCTCTCCCCCTCCGCTCACTCCGCCTCAGCCAGAATCAATGCTCCAAAATCCCCCAAAGCCAGATCCTCTTACATCCTATCAATTATTCAACCTGCCTCTTTTGTACAACCACTCCTGTTTACAAGGACTGCCTGGCCAATTGTAAATGTTTGCGTGCCCACTGAGCCCCCATCACCTCCCTAACCACACACATTGATTACACAGTGATTTAGCTCTATTCTGCCACCCCCAACAGCCCTCACATCTGCTATGACGGGGCATCTGTCAGGCTGGCACAGAGGCAGCCGTAGAGGCGGATAGCCCTCAGCTCTGAGGGCGAACAGGGTAGAGCGGGATGCGAGACGCCAGTCACCGCCTGCGTAGCTTGTCGTCTGGGCTGAGGTCTGGCTAAGGGCACGGCATCTGGCTGCCAGTCCCGGCAGGTGTGCAGCCACGCTCTGAAAATATGTGTCTGAATGTCAGCCTGCTCGATAGCACCAGCGGGGTAGCTGGCGGACAGAAACTACAAGTGTAATTTCTCAATGCATGCCTTCGATATGTAAGGAGACATGGTTCCAGCTCCTGGAATCTTTCTCATCAGTCTTTCAGAAAAGTTTAAACATGTTGCTCAGGTCTTCTAAATGAGTATCTACGGAATAGTTAACTTCGAGCAGCCATTTTAATCCAAAGTTTGCCTATTCTGTTGTTTGCAACGTATTCCAATAAACTGGTGGCACACTGCAGAAACCTTAGCTTAGGCTAATTTATGGTCAGGAAAAGCAAAGATATACAATTGGGGTTCGGGATAAAGTGTAAATTAAGGGCGACAGGGAAGCCGACTTCGACACAAAGACAGGTTTGACTTTGGCTCTCTGTTGGAGCTGTAGTTGTTGAAAGCTAACTACAAGACGAGGAAAAGCATTAACATAACCACCGCAGCATGACAATCACAACATGTTTCTGATTTAAAAATGACAAGGCACTCAAGTTTCACGACAGCAGCAGATGTCCATTTAGCTGAGAATGTGGATGGAGAACCACAGGAACATATTTCAGCTTTGCATAAACATGAATGAAAGAAAAAAATGCTGTTGGGAACAGAAGCTAGCTCGTCGAGGGGACAGGAGTATGGCTCTCAATACTACAACCATATTTTAAAACTTGTAATGATTTTAAATCTGAAGCAGCCGGCCCAATGGAGACAATGGAACTAATGCCTTCTGTGTGTTAGATCCTCCCTTGTTGTGTCTCTTCACTCTCTCCATACCTCACCTAACAGGAACATGTATCGGGCTGTTGTGTCTTCAGCCAACGCACCAGACAGGAGACATCTCTCAGGAAAACAAACCATTCATTTGGTAAATAAGGAAGGAGCAGCACATAATAATTAACTATGAATAATGCATGCTCACTTAGCTGTTGTTGTCATTGACGCAAACCCTTGTTTGTCTGACAGTAAAATTCATATTACGTCTCATCTTCATGTGAATTCTCTCTGTTGCGTGTGTTCTCACATGTCAGGGAGCTCGCTACATGTTTGACAGTAATACAGTGTGACAGTAAAGTAAAGTAAATATCTTCAAATTAGAAACAGGCTTTAAATAGCACTGTTATCATACAATATTCACCAGTACCACAGGCCACGCACCACACTATGGTGTCTATAGTCCTATCAGTGGCAGCATGCAATGCATTCCCCAGAAACTCATCATGTTGTCATGTGTATATGTCTGTAATCTCATAGCTTCAGTGGCCAAAATTACATCTGTCACTTCTGTCGGCGTGTGCAGCACATACCTTATAATACAATGGAGGGATTGTGTATTGAAATGTATGTGGCTGGTGTCTGCCGTCTACATTATCAGTGTTACTGTACATTCAGTTCTTGATTTTTTTTTTGCATGTTGTAGCATAAAGGTCAACAAAATTTCCCAGATATGGATTGCTGACATCGGCCATTTAGTTATTCACACCCTCTTGTGCGAACAGTACTACAGCAAACACACACACACACACATACATACTGTATCATACACAAATACATGAAGAGTATATATACTGCAAGTGCTCAATACAAACGACACAATGGTCGCTGACAGTTAATATTCATGTATGTAGCGCCTGCACTGTTCCAAACACACACATGCACGTGCACACCGCGGGGCTCCTCTGTTATCAGGGCTGCTCACATTGGCAGAGACACATGCATTGCCAAGACTGCCAGGCTACGGCCATGGTAATGCAGCCCGTTAGTCTAACAAAGGCTCAGGTCAACGGAGCCTCCAGTGGCTAATTGCTTCAGAGAGATAAGTGAGTTTGACGACGCAGCAAGGAACGGCTCAGCGAGAGGAAAAAGTGAGGGAGGAGGAGATGTTAATGAATCCCCCCCCCCCCCGTTCACTCCACCGTCAATATCGGCCCGTCGCAGCCTGCCGCAAACTGAATATTAAACACAGTTTTGATTGTCTGCTGTTTTTTTTTGTTTGTTTGCTTGATTTCATTGAATTTAAATGGGCTGTGTTGTGGTGTTTTTGTCACATATGCTATGCTGAGTAAGAGAGTGGAGCTAATGCAATTAATCCTCAGACCATCACCTGACGGCTAACCAGCTATGGTAGCCAATAAATACACGTGACCGTGTTGCACTAATCTAACGTGCTGCACCAGAATACTGAGTGAACGGGACTGACTGCATGATAACATGTCTTAATGCTTAGATGGAGGTTTAATAATGTATTTGTTTTTTAGCTTTTAGAGCTTTTGTGCACACATTTGAGTAATTACATGTCACGGGTAGATTTGATCTATTGAAGGAAACATTTTGGCTTGAGTTGATTTGTTCTCTCTGAAGTGACAGTGACAAGACCAGTGACATGCCATCCGGCACTGATTACACTGATCTTCCTCATCAGCTAATCTGCCTCTGACTTATATTAAATCAATGTCAGTTTCAGACAGCAGGAGGTGGTGCCCATTTCCCCTACAATGGCAAAAAGCTCTCTTTTCCTAGAGCTGACTCAAGTTGTCACACATCTCTGTACCTCTGACTGACTCACTTTATCTGAAGATTACCATTCTCACTCAAAATGAATTCTGAACCCATATTTCCTGGATATGGCTGGAGGCTAATACAAATTGGACTTGACAAAAGATGATGCATAAGCCAAGACAATGGTGTTTCATCCCTTTATTTCTCCCTCTCTAGATACCGATTGTGTGAATTGCCGACAAGTGTGATGATGGACTATTGGAGGCGTTTGGTTTGACGATGCAAGTGGCCTCTCGGGAGCCACCCAGGCTTAGCGCATAAACAAAGACGTACATAAAATACTCTTCACACGCACCCCCCCTCTCTCAAACACCACAGCTATACCTCTCTATCTCTGTTTTTTTCTTTTAAGGCAGCTCATCGTTCCTCTGTTTTCCATTCTCTCTCAAACTGCATATCGTCTCTCATTAGCATTTTCTTCTGCAGGCATGTCCTCCATGCTGTGTGTTTGTCTCTGTAGGTCTTGCCCTCTGGGTTCCACCAGTTGCTAATCCGTGGATATGAATGCAACCAGTCTCCATGGGACGTTTGGGAGGTTAGACTCCCAGCGACACATTACAGACACATCCCACATCAAGATTTATTTTTTTAACACCAGAGAATGTGTCTCTAAGCACAAGTCACACAGTGTATTCTATTATATTTGAAGGCAGCTGGTAACAAGGATGTTAGAAGTGTTTTTACACAAAGAACAGACAATGTATAGACCTGTGAATATGCACTGATGCTTGCTAAATCTGCATGCTATGTAACATCTCATTAAAGGTGAATATGGTAATACGAAATCCCTCCAAGATACCTTGAGGCCTCTCAGCAAGTTCAGCCATCTTCTCATAATAAATTGGCAAAGGCGGAGGAGTGTGTGTCTGCTTTGCTGCAGGGCTGGCCAGCCCGCACAGCACTCGCAAATACACGTACGATGGTGCACTTTGCAGATTTTCTTGTTAAATAGTGGTGACCTGAGACGAGCTGTGAATCTGTCCCTGGCAGGAATTGTCTGTCTGTCTAAGCCTTGTTGGAACTGAGGGTGGAGCTGCAGCGTCAAACCCCAGCCACCAGGGAGCATCGCAGTGCAAATTGTCCTCAAATATTGATTCTGCTGCAGAGAGCAATGTAGGACGGAGGGAGCAAGGCGCCAGGCTCATCTACAGAACACGAAACCTCTAGGGGAGAGACAGAGAGAGATGGAAAGAGAGGGAAGAAAGAGGGGAGGAGAGAGGGCAGGAAAGCAAACAAAGCCCTTACATTCACATTCTCTGCTGATTCCTGTTGTCCCACATTAGTATGTTTGTGGGTGGGAGGCTTGCAACGTTTGTGTTTGAATGTAGGTGTATTTGCTTGTGTGCGCATGCGTCTGCAGAACGTCATCGTATCCCTGCTCTAAATGGACCATTGTTGCTGAGATGCTGCTGAAGGAAAGAGGGCATTGTGGTGTGACTGGCCTAACTGCAGTGCTGCACCGTAGGCCTAAAAATATTCCATGTCAGTGGTCCCGAGAGAAGCCCAGTGCTATCCAGGCCTCTCAGTAATGAGAGAGTGGAGCTGCCTGCCACTGGTAGCCCTGCTGCCCCCCAGCTCCCTCTGGCTCAGAGCTCAGCACTGGTGCTGGAGAGGCAGCAGCTCAGCTCCCACAGATTTATCATAGCTCACAAAGCAGCATGTCTGAAAGCAGAGGCTCTCATTCGCAGAGGAGCAGCCCCCGGCGGGCTAACCCCTGGGCACACTGACCCAACACATTCACATATCAGAGAGGCAGACAGATGCAGTTCGAGAAAGACTTGCACTTCGATCTGTGTCTACAAGAGGAAAAAATGGATTTGGATAGCATGAGAGCAAAAAGGCAGCACATTGGTACAAACGGCTGAGGGATAAAGATAATGTGGTGTGTGAAAACTACTTTAACTGTGCCATCTATTGTATTGTATGCGATGTGGCAGAAAACAGAGAGATGGGCACAAGAGAGGGACAGAAAGGTTCAAAGAAGAGGCGAGTGTGAGAGGGAGAACGGACAGAGATAATTGAGAGATTTAAGGTGGTTGTTTGGGGCGCTACGCTATTGTACTCAGCGCAGTAATGATCGAGCCCTGTGGGGAAAAAAAACATGTTTGCAAAGGGAAGGTTGAACTGTCATTATCGAAGGCAATTATTTCAGTATATCTCACTGAAGCATTGAGGTGGAGGGGAGCTTCTGGAGGCAATCAATGGGCAATGTGCCAACAAAAACATACTGCATCTCTGAACAAAGGTAGCTAAAAAGAAGCCTATTCATAGAATTGTTTTGTGTTTACAGTGCCTTTGAAAATTACGAATCTGAAAATGAAGAGAGAGAAAGCGGAGAGTATTCCCAATAAAACGAAATAACAACATAAAGACAACTAGTCCTTGTTTGAACATTTTATGGGCCTCCTTTTAACAGTTAACATAAGAGATTGAATATAATAGATCAAAGATATATAACTTTGAAGGCTGAGCTTGAAAATGTTTCTGGGCAAAAATGAGACAAATGAATCACACTTTGCTAGTTCATATTGTGCCAAGCTGTACGTAAGTGAGGCTCAATAGTCAGAGCCATTTTTAATTAATTACTACTCAGGAATAATGGGGCGTGATATATATTTATATATATTCATCTACTTCAAGTGTTTGACATTTTACAAAATGCTCACCTCATCTTCATGTGACATCCACGGCAAAAGATGGGAGTTATCTAGAAAAACAAAAACATTCCCAAACGGTTTCAACTAGTGCAAATATATTACATGAATTTTTAATATGTTGTTATGATCCTACACTGAAATTCCTAATTAGAACTGCAAAATGACTCCCGCAAAACAGTCTTGATGATAGTGACTTGACCCACAAGAGCAATTTGATGCTAATTTGCTATTTGCTAGTTATGAGCTGCTATCGCTTTCATTTCTCCCAAATCATCTCCACTGTCTCCAAGCTCTACATATGGACAACTAGAAGCATTCAAAGCACAGCTTTTAGTTCACATCTCACACTCATCCACGAATGCTTTGTTGAAATATATACTTTGAAATGTGTAATCCCTCTTTGAAATCAACCATTACTTTTCATCAGTCCACATTTTGTCCATTATCGGAAAACAAGAGTCCATTCGTGTCCAGATTTACCCTGGGTTTCCATGATTGTAGTCCATTGGTCTCAACAACCAGCATACTGTGTGTGCTGTATGTGGGGCTCCATGTAGCCAAGTGTACGTAGTTTGTGATGAGTACATTTTGTCCCATTGGTTTGTGATGGATGGCCTTACGGTGGTCCTTTCTTTGATAATTCCCCCCATCGTACAGTAAATATGTGTGAGTCATCCATCCTTTCCACATGGAGAGTTTCAGGTTTCCTCGTGGCTCACTGTCTCTCTTGCTATCGTGTGACCTAAAAAAGAAACAATATCACAGATAAGACAAGAGGATCAGTGTCACAGAGACATGTAATTACACAGAGTTTTCCCGCTTCACTGTCGCTGAATGAATGTTCCCATTTGAAAGAGTCAATCAGAGGTCAGGGGAGAATATTTCAAATCAAACCATTTCCTCTCTATTTGAGACTCCGGTTGAAAATGTTTGTTTGCAGTCTGGCCGGCTGACTGTTTGCAGGGACCAACAGTGTCTCGACTGCTAAAGCTGGATTTCACATGTCTCGGAGCTGTAATGGTTTGTTTACACTTAGTGTGGAAAGGCATATAATTGGAGATGTACTGTATAGAGGTTGTTTTCCCTCAACAAACCCTGTCCAATGTGCATTTATAAAAAGGAGACGTGGTCATATATTGCAAAAATCCTGTTTTAGTCCTGAGAACCCCTTAAACCACAAAGCCACAGATAAGAAATGGGACTTGTGAGGATACAGTATGTGTCGGATGTCTTTGCTGTTCCTTGTTTTACAGTGTTCTGGTTCCTCTGTCAGACATCTTTCTACACCACACCTACGCTGTGTGGGAGTTAAAGAGAAGGACAGATAGAGATCATCATGGTGAATGGGATGCTGAGAAGGTGAAAGGAGGTCATGGGTAGAAAGAGAGACGCAGGATAAAGAAGAGAGACTCAGAGAGGGCAGGAGAGCAGGGCCGTGCATGCAGTTGCCAGGGAATCGTTGTCTCATTGCAACCATCTTCAGTGACATCTGCCACCAAGTCTCCAAGTAACTGCTCCCCGGTCCCAAAGCACCTTGCAAATGCACAATTAATGTCCACTGATGCAGTCAGCCATTGGCTCCTCATTCCTCTCTCAGCTGAGCGGCTAGTCAGAAAGGGTGGGAGACAAAACAAGGGAGAGAAGAAGAAGAAGAAGAAGAAGAAGAAGAAGAAGAAGAAGAAGAAGAAGAAGAGAGATGGCACCATGCAACAGAATGAGGATAATTGCACCTACCAGTCCCAGAGTTGGTGTTAGGCCCAGGGTCATTAATTCCACTGCCTGCGACTGAGCCCAGCAGTGCCTCTGTTCCTCAGTCTATCCCACTCACCAATTTAATTATGACTCTTAATTGTAAAGCCTCTGTGGAAGGCACCAGCCATAATGCATTCTAATGAATGCGACAGATGTTGTGCTGTTATGCCACCACCCGAGCAATTACTCTTATGGCGCCTGCGCGCCCTTCCCTCACAAATGTTTCTTTTTTTTAATATTTCACCTGTAAATAAACTGCACCTGCTCCATCCCACGACAAGCACTCTGGCACGTACATGCACACACCCCAGCAGTCAGTCCCGCAAATTAACTTTCACACTTCAACAGCTTACAAAGGGCCATGAAGGACTCTCATTTAAATCAATTTATCTCATGTGAATAGCGTCAGTTTACATGGCATCACACAGTGGTTGTCTGGGGTACAGAGTGTAAACAGGTCCTGTGTTTTCTCCATCAGTTTATTGTCACCCTCGCCAGAGGAGATACAGTTACAGCAGATTAGCAAATAAGGCTCACTGGGGGGCTTGCTTGTTGATTAGCTCTGTATCTGTTTTTTCGTCCTTTGTTATTGATGTGTGAAATTAGTGCTTAAATTGGATTACATTCATTTGTGGGCATCTTGAAGATGATCTCTAATTTGCTTGGTAAGCACTTCTGAGTTCTTTCTTTTCCTATACAGTTAGATACAGAATTAAAAACACCAATAAGAGTCATCTAGTCAAAAGTTTGTTCACCAAACACTAATTGATGTGAGATGTTTCACAGGTAAAAAAAAATCAATTTGATTGAAGATCAAGGGTCAATTCTTGCTACATTAAATATTAATCAAGATGGAAGATGCTCAGTCATATATTTATTAATTCTTTCTGAACATCATTATGTTTCTCAAGAAGCTTTTTGATGTGAACGCTTGATGTGAACACAGGTTATATGCTTTATTGTTGCTTACAAATTAGAAGTTGTCAAAGACTCTGAAGCGATTAGAGTCGGCTAGATAAACATGTAGGTGACACTGTGCTAGCACATAAAACAGAACGGGCAAAAATGAAAGGAAAGGAGCAGCATGTGTGAGATGACATGTGCATCAAATGCACATATAATGGATCAGTGTCAGAAATTACACAACTATACAAACCCACACAGTCATTCTTCTCACCTTGGTGGTTTTGACTTTGTTGCCAGTGCTGCAGGACCAGCCAGTCAGGTCAGGCAGGACCTTACACTCCTCTCCATCCATGCACGGATGCATCTGGCACCACCACTTCTGGACTACGATGGAGGCTGGAGCAGTAAATGGAGGTTCAGATGCAAAGAAAGACAGCAGGTTACTGAATAGATCATATGATATGATGAAGAGCACTGCGTTAATGGCAAACAAAAGCAAGAATAAGGTGGTATTTACAACACAAACACACAAGCCATTACCTACACAATAACTCAGTAATACTGTACAGTAATGATTTAGTTGGTATCTACAGCCAACATGTACTGTTATTGTCCATAATAAGGGTAGAGCATATAGCATATTTTTACAATGTAAATGCCCTGAGCGCTGTCCGTGGTGCTGATCCTACTGCTGGGACTGCAGCAGGATCAGCACCATGGATAGCACTTGTGACAAAACACTGTGGTTGTGTTCAAACCACCAGTATCTCTGAGCAGTCGTGCGCTTTATCATCTGTAATATGATTAGTGTGAGGAGCTAAACTGTATAGCAGTTTAAATCAGGTTAATGTCATCCCTCAACATGGGATCTTAAAGCCTGTGCGGAATGGGTGAGTCTGGCACCCGCAGGAGACAAAAATGAAAGAAGGTAGAAGAGGGGAAATATGATACATATGTCATACCTAGGCTGCAATGACTAATACAAGTCCTTAAACTATCCTGGAGAAATCCAATCAGATGTGGCCAGCCTGTTGTGCTGCTGATGTTTTAACAGAGCATTCAGAGGTCTTTGAATACGATTCAAAGGTGAATTTCTCTGTATTTTGTCATTTGTGCAGATGTATAATCTATCATTTAAATTAAATGACTGCTTATTGCCGAACTTCCCTTTTGTTTTCGAGCATAATCAGCTAAACACAAGGCACATTTAGACAATGAGCCAATATTCCAATTGTGTAATGCAGAGAGCAAGAACGGGATTATGATGAAGCAATGCTACCAATTATAAAACAGCCTTCTCTTGAGTGTTTGAAGCAAAAGAGACTAATATTTGAGATCTATTGTATAATTTTTGCAGGCATAAAAGCCCTTCTTGGAAACTCATCTCTCTTGCAAAATACAAAAAAAGAAATACAAAATATGGAAAGGACCTTCTGGAGTTTGATTCTTTCTTTTTATTGATTTAAAACAAATTTCCCTATTTGTATCTATTTCCTAAAATTAAGTGATGATTTGGTGTACATAATACAACACAGCTTCAGAGTGAGATCTACAGTTAATCCAGTGGTAAAACCCAAAGTTTTCTCATGTCTTCACAGCTGACACTCATATCTTCCAGATCACCTGACCCACTGTCTAGACAGAAGACAGCCCGACAGCTGAGAATAAGTCCCTCTCTCCTAACTCATCATCCATCCATCCTCCTGTCTCAAATGTGAATGCAGGGTGGGATAAAAGAGTGCACCCGTTTCCCCAACTTTATTTAACTGGTGGATTGATGGATTGATATTGTGATCTCTAGTGACTATTGTTTCCGACAAAGGGAGAATTTGAGGTGATATTGGCAGGAAAATGGGCTTTCAATTGCATAACGCCAAAGAACATGGACAAATCCTCTCAAGCCTCAGGTAAGAAGAAAAACACTGTGACTGTGAGAAAGAGAGGGAGGAAGACAAGGCTAAAGAATAGGTGTTCACCAAGAAAACACATCTTTGTCTTGTGGAGATGAGCAGCGCGAGGAACTGCGAGAGGCGGAGAGTGAAGGGTGGAGGGGAAAAAGGCTGTTTGAGGACGACCATCACCGAGTTCAGGGGCCGATTAAACAAACAGAACAGAGGGAAGGAGAGTAACGAACTGAAGCAGAGTGGAAAATAGGTGGCACAAATGCAACAGCAGAGACAGGAAGACATGTAGGGAGAAGCAGGAAGTCAACACAAAAGAACTCACAGCTATCACGGGGCGTAATGTTGAACACACTCTTATGATGCATGAGCTCAGTGGCAGTAAACAGTTCTAAAAACCAATGGCTGTGTAATGCTCGTTAATGTGGCCATTATGGTGTTGACGACGGTGCTTTGCACTGCAAGAGCGTTAATGGGCATGGCCTGTGAGTGCTATTATGGAGTTAGCGTTCCCTGCAGCTTATCTCATGCTACACTGGGAGGAGGGTGCTGGGCGAGCACGAAACATAAGCACCTGCCTGTCAAGTCAGAAAATGAACATGTGCCGGTTCAAGGCCTGTGATGTCATGGATAGTTCAGATGTTTGGGCAGCACTCACAGACAGGTTCTCAACAGGTCAATGGTAAAAAGATTACAGAGGTGCTTAGAGTGTGCTGTGGTTAATTCTGAGGATCATGTTTTTCTCTGAGTAGCTGTGCAGAGACTGGTGGTGGGGGCTAGTTGGATTCACCCCTGTGGTGCCTTCAAGGTTAGCTACTGTACAGATGGACTGCAAAAGTCTCTTTTTTTGCACGATTGTTTCTGAGAGCAAAGCATTTGGTATCTTGAATTCTACTTTAAAGGAAAAGTTCAACATTTTGGAAAAAATACGCTTATTTGCTTCCTTGCCAACGTTAAGATGAGAAGATCAGTTCCACTCTGTACGGTAAATATAAAGCTACCACCAGCAGCCGGTTGACAAAGGATAACAAAGTCCACCCACCAGCACCTCTAAAGCTCACCAATCAAGACGTCACATCTAGTTTGAATAATTCACACAAAAACGAAGTGTAAAATTGATATAACGTGGCTTACGGGGGGGGGTAGTTATGTGTGAAACCACAACGTCTCATTTTTACACTTCAGTCTTTGTGATGAAGAAACTAGACATAATGTGTTAAATGGTGCGGCTTAGAGGTGCAGTTCGGGGGGTTTTGTTACATTTGAACAAAGCAGTTTCCCAGTGCTCCCACTCTTTATGCTAATCTACGCTTGCTTTATATTTATTTTACAGTCATGACTGTTCTTAGATCTTCTTCTAATCTAACTCTCAAGATGTTGAAATATTAATTCAATCAATTTACTGCTTCGTCTCACCAACACTGTCACGACTCATACGCACAAGTTGTTAATTATCCACAGTCACACTGGCCGACTCTTGAAGAGCAGATAAATACTTGAAAAGCATTATTAACTCAATTGCTTTAAAATGATTGACATTGATGGCTTTACACTAAAATACTCAGCAAGTATGTGTGAAAATGAATCGTTGCTTTAAGTTCTTGAAAGAGGACACATATTCTCCAGATAGAAATGTGTGTAACTACCTCACAGCCTATCCGCTCTAATTGCCTCCTTCTCATTAAGAATCTACATTTAAATTCACAAAAGGTGCATATACTAATTAAACAGGTTTACAGCTCAGGCATACATTTCATCACAGTTGCTATCGGCTCATTACAACGGAATCTGCTCTCCAAACGGTTCTCTTTTAAGTTCTCTCTCAAACTTTCAGAGCGGGATCATCTGAGAGCAAACCTCTAGACAGAGCTTTGCTTAAGGTGCAGGTGATTAGGCAACACCAGGGACTGAGGCTAATCTATTCCCCAGGTTCCCACCTAGTCTCTGGGGTTCTCTAAATAAGGTTTCATGCTACGAGGATGCCGAGGGCTCTGCCTCTCCTCCTGCTGATCACGTCAATCTCCCGCAACATCCGATGAACGTCACTCATACCTTCTGACCGTCGTGGTTACAGCTTTTCATTTTTGTTGGCCGGGATGAGCATTCATCCAAACACAGCCTCTGTTGTTCATGTCTCCCTGCAATGCCGCCTGAATTGTCATTGTAATGTTTGTGACATCAAGTGGACAAAGTTGAAATTGCAGGTCTCTGCAGCCACATGTTTAGTCTTCGACTGTCAAATATAAAACACATAAATGGCGTAATCTTAAGACCCCTGTGACCAAAGATAAGCCTGCCTGCTAAACTATTGTGACACTTGTGTGTATGCAATGCCTTGTTACTTACCAATCAACACCTTGAGAATGCCTGACGTGTTCCACCTCTGCAGGTGCCCCCCCCATGACAAAAACGTTAAACATGATAAATAACATCACTTTGGGTGGAAAAAAAGGTGCAAAACAAATCAATCCGTTATATCTAACACTTGTAATATTTCATCCGTGAACATACATAGTCAACACACTAAGGCAAGAACTGTGGCATTAGATCAGCTCACTTACTCTACCATCTCATGTGATGTAATTGATTACTCCACCAACTATGAGTTCATGTTCAAAGAGACCTCCTTCACCTGGAACCCTTTCATGTAAAGTCACATGATGAAGAATAATAGATTAGCCCAAGAAGAATACGAATTCACTGGCTACATATCCCATTGTTTGATGTAAGGCAGGCCATACTAATACAATAACTGCACTCAGACTTGTGTCTTTTAGAGTGCCCATTAATACTTCACGAAGGCACCGCCTGAACTCACTCTATGGAGCAACACAAGCTGCAACAGGGAGTTTACTTTTACTTTGCATGTGCGCACGTGCCTGTTGTGCACATATGGAACGCCTTTGTGTGTTTTGTGTATGTACATGTATGTAGTCCCCACTGGGCAGTAAGTGGCAGGCGTAAAAGCACAATCACAAGCAGCCCCGTGCCCTTGCTCCCAGGTCATTACTATTTAAAGGGAATATGATGTACACACACACACACACACACACACACACACACACACACAAGAAGTTGGGGATGGACCCGGAGGTATGGATACCCTCAGGCATTGTAACTGTTCCACTCAGTGATCCTGGAGTGCAAAAGCAGTTGGAGAGAGGCATCCATCTCGTTCTAAAATGATTTACTAACACACTGTATCTCTGTTGCTCACACAGCCATGCCAGCACACCCAGGTATGCATGACGAGAAAACACAAGCGGAAAAAAATGGTGTGGGAAAACTGTCAGAAAAGGATGCACAGGGAACAGTTACAGACCGCCCGAACAGACTGGCAAAATGACAAAGCGTGATATTATAGAGCAGCTATTACAGTGAACAACAGCAGGTTGATGTGTGCTAAAGCACTAAACTAGATTTCTTTGCCAGTTATTGAAACCTAGTTTGTCTGTCGCAGAGCTCAGCACATGAGTAAATCCACTCATCCATTGT